ATCCAAAGTTACAACACTGAAAAATGTGACAACTTTTTCACACTTAGAATAGAATAGAATAACAGAGTTGGAAGGGATCTTGTAGGTCATCTAGTCCAACCCCTCACTCAAACAGGAGACCCTACACCATTTCTGACAAATGGCAGTCCAGTCTCTTCTTGAAAGCCTCCAGTAATGAAACTCCCACAACTTCTGAAGGCAACTTCTGTTTCAGGGGTTGTTTGTTCTCACTGTCAGAAAATTTCTTCTTGTTTCCAGGCTGAATCTCTCCTTGACCAGTTTCTGTCCATTATTCCTTCTCTGGCCTTCAGGTGCTTTGGAGAATAGCTTGACCCCCTCCTCTCTGTGGCAGCCCCTGAGATATTGGAAGATGCTATCCTGTCTCCCCTGGTCCTTCTCTTCCCTAGACTAGCCAGGCCCAGTTTCTGCAACTGTTCATCATATGTTTTAGGCTCCAGTCCCCTAATCATCCCGGTTGCTCTTTTCTGCACTCTTTCTAGAGTATCAGCATCTTTTTATAGTGTGGTGACCCAAACTGGATGCAGTATTCTAGGTGTGGCCTTACTAAGGCTTTAACGGATGGTATTAGTACCTCCCTTAATCTTGATTCTATCCCTCTGTTAATGCACTGTAGGATTGTGTTGGCTTTTTTTGGCTGCTGCCGCACACTGTTAGGTCATATTTAATTGGTTGTCCATTAAGACTTCATGGTCCAAGGGAGTTTTTGCAGAAGGGCTCTTGGCATCAAGGAAGCACCCTGGATGGATGCAGTTATGATCTGGGGAAAACATTGGTAAGAGTGTCAGTCACAGTCCAATCAGAGATGCGTGAATCGGACAAATCTGTATTCCTCTTCCGTCTCTCCTTGCCTACATGAAGTAGTGCAAAGCCTCTAAGCTGCCATATGGGTTCTCTTGTTTAGCATCGCATGTAAACTGCCGTCATGCAGAAGTGACCAGCTCCTGGGGTAGATGCTATGCTCTGCTGATCTACTGCCATCTGACATGCTCTCTCCTCTCTTCCCACTGGCCTCTGCTTGGCTGCCGGCAAGTCAAGGGGCAGCAGGAGGAGATGCAGTGCCAGGTGGCCTGTGCGTTGCACACTTCTGCACCCTTGCCCCTGCCCGCAAAGTCTGTGGGCCGATCGAACCGTTCAGGCTGCAGCCGGGGGTTCCTACTGGCCGGGTGCAGCTGGAGCTCTCTTGTGAATGAAATGGCTTCCCTTCACCATGGTCAGCCTGGTGGCAAGAACGGCCTGATCGATCGATTGATCGACTGCTGAGATGGCCAAGCACTCCCAGTTTGTCCTGGATGGCTCTGCTAGTCCTTTACAGACATCTGGCGGGCAGCCCTAGGCCCCAGAGAGGACAGGCCATGCCCATTCTGGCTTCTGCAAGAAGGGTCTTTACGGCTTTGAAGTGGGAGAGCCAAGCTCATTTTTTATGCATTCAGTCTTCACAGTAAGTGCATTTTCATCTGCATTTCCTTTTCGACCGATGCTCGCCTACAATCCCGGCCGCAGGGAGCCTGCGCACATTGTCTGCACCATGTAGAACATTCTGATGTGAGCCCTCTTGCGATCTTGTTTTCATTTATGTTTAATTGCTTTGGTTTAGTGCTGGAGTGTCAAAGTCTATTTCATTGAGGGCCGCATGAGGGTTATGTTTGACCTCAGGGGGCTAGGGTGGGTGGGACCAGAGTGGGCGGGGCCTGCTCAATGTCACTCATGTTGGTGGGCACCTGTGGCGGCTCCTGCAACCCTCTGCCAGTGAAAATGTGGCCCTCCCGAGCTCCCATTTTTGCTGGCAGAGGGTTGCAGGAGGTGGTTGCATCTGGAAACGGAGCTCAGGAGCCTGTTTTCGCTGGCAGAGGCACCGCGGAATGGTCTCTGACTGTTTCTAGAATGGCCTCCTTGGGCCAGATCTAAGCACCCTGCGGGCCGGATTCGGCCTGTGGGCCTTGAGTTTTGACACCTCTGGTTTAGTGGTTTTACCAAATACAATTTTTTTAAAAGTGGTTTTATAATATATTGTTTTATTGCATGTCACCCAGAGTCACCTTCTGTGACATGGGGGAGGGGTCATATAAACGTGATAAATAGGTAAGTATGGTTGTCCCTCTGCTCTGGGCATGGGGTAGCTGGGGTGGTAAAAAGCCCGCAGACCAGAGGTGGGTTGCTCCTGGTTTGGCCCGGATCAGACAAACCAGTAGTAGCGGCAGCGGGAAGCTCCGCCCACCTGCCCGGACGCTTTTGCGCATGCCCAGAAGCATCGCGTGCACACACGCGCACAAGCAAACTGGTAGTAAAAAAACCGGAAACCCACCACTGCCGCACACCCATTGTTGCAGATGTGGAGTGAAGCTGGATGCCCGATGAGCAGGGTGGCTGATACCACCACACCAATTTGCCAGAAGAAACTGATTGTGGCCCTTGGGGATCAGCTCTGCTTCTGATTTACCCAGGAATTGTAGTCTCTCTGGATCAACCAGCGATTTGCTGGTTAAGTGCAGAAGGAGAGCCAGATGTTTTGTGTAATTTGCCAGCGGATTGAAGCGACCAACTCACTCTGGAGTTTGGGCACCCCTGGATGAAGACCAGTTTGTGCCTCTTGTTTCCTTATTGTTCCTGGGCACAAACAAAGGGCCGAGTCTGCATGAAAATGAATCTGCTAAAACTGTTGTTTGGATTAGAGTAGCAGACAAACAAGCAACTTGATCTAATCCCACCCCTTAGGCCCCTTTTGGATTACAGTTCCCATCCATCTTGGCTGTGGCCCATGGTTACTAGAGATAGCAAAAGCCCTTGCAGAGCCTGACTTTGCTGCCCACTAATTTACACAGATGAATGGATTTCTCTGCAAAATTCATCATGAATTTTGTGGAGAAAAAAACCTGTAAAGTCTGTTCGTTCTCTCTCTCGTTCTCTCTCTCGTTCTCTCTCTCTCTCTCTCGTTCTCGTTCTCTCTCTCTCTCTCTCTCTCTCTCTCTCTCTCTCTCTCGCACACACACACACACACACACACACACACACACACCACATAAAGTTGAGGGACATCTTGTTACATTTGTAAATTAAACAAATTCATCTTATTTTTTAAAAGACAGGGAAACAAATTACTTCTGCCTTACAAATCCATGTTAAGTGCAAAATCAGGATGTGGACTGCAAGAAATGCCATAAGCAATCTGGCAGGGATAACATGGGGCACCCCAAGGATTATTCCTAAGCCAGACTGAAGATACCTTTCCCTTTTCCCCCGAGCCCCTATTAACCTGCATCCTCCCTTTTCTCGTTGCAGTTTGTTGCTTCGTGGTCCACAAGAGGTGCCATGAGTTTGTTACCTTCTCCTGCCCGGGGGCCGACAAGGGTCCTGCCTCCGACGTGAGTAAACTCAGCAGAGCTGGCCAGATGGGCGGGGTGGGGGGGGCAGTTGAGGGGGTGGCATCAAGAAGGCCAGCCTGGGGTTGTGGTTGATACCATGAAGCCCATTCCCAGCTGGGGAGGCTCTGGGGCTGCTTGGGGGTCACCCTCCCTGGGGGGAAAGTGAGCTGTGATTTACATGCTCTAAAGGCAAAATGTACTTGGGCAAAGCCAATCAGATCCATTTGGAGAGCTAAAAAAAAATCAAAATTGCACATTTCGTGTGGTTTGATTTGAGCAGGAGGAAAGTTCACTACAGACTTGAATGTTCAGTCCTTGAACAGCCTCTGCAGCTGGTGTCCTTAATTCCATTTAAGTGCCGTGTGTGTTTTTGTGTGTGTGTGTGTGTGTGTGTGCGCGTACGCCCATTTTAGCCCATCTGCAAAAAGAAGGGAAGGCTAATAAATCTAATAAACCTAAACCTAAACCTAAACCTAACCCTGGAGAACAGAATCGAGGCCTGTCCGGGATCAGGACAGCTGGTAAATTTCAGCTCCCCCCCCCAATTATCTTAATTTACAGGGGTGTCTGCAAAGGGAGGGGAGTCCTGATGTTTAAAAGACGGGTGGGGGGCTTTGATCACATGGCCCTGGCCATCATTGTGATATTCTCCCTCCCCCCCCCCCTCAGCCCCTTTAACCCATTCTCAGCTTGTTGTCCCCAGATATACTTTCTATATTCTACGTTTGGTTTTAAAAATACTGTTTTGAGTACACGCCAGGCTGAAAGGCAGAGTCCACCTTTCATCCCAAAATGACCCTCTCTGCTCAAGGGCTTCTTTTCCTGGCCCCCTCCTCCATTTCCTGTGGAACCCACCTGCCATGCTTGGGAGGAGTCTGAAGACTATGGTAAAAAAAAAACAGGCCAAGATGGAGCCATGATGGTGCAATGGATGGTTTGATCCAGACCTCTCTTGGAAACCTTCTTCCTGGGAGAGCAATGGAAGAGGACTCTTCAAGCTGACTTAGAAAATGCCCAATTACAAAACTTGTCAAAAAGGCAAATTAAACATTCCGAGTTTTGAAAGTTTAGGAGGAAATGCAATATAAGTTTGGAGCCAAACGCTCCCATTTTTCTCCTGCCGTACTCCAAATGTTTATACATATCTATAAATGGTACCTCGAGGCCCTTTGAGCTAGAAACCCAGCAATTAATTTAACAATAAAAACACAGATTCTGCTTTCAGCAGTCTTTAGAAAATCTGGAGAGAATCCACATTCTGGGCATCAAGCAAGGCAACACACACACACACCCTCTTTGAAGCGATGTGCTGTCAGTGGGGGAGAGCTAATTTCAGAGGCTGCCACTGTGATTGATGGGGAGGTGCTGATGAGCCTCTATTCTCCCTCTATTTTTAGTCTCTGGTGATGAGCAGACCAAAATACAGCCAGATGATTGTCCTCGCAGGCCAGCTGCCAGACAGGTGTGGAGAAGCTCTTTAAAATGTTGACCGAGATGGGCTGTCTGGTCAGCCGAGTGCAGCCTGAAGCCTCCACTGCTCTCTCCACCACACTGTCGCTTTTCCACCTGGAAGTGGGGAGTTGGGGGGGGGGAGAGGAAGAGAATGGTTCTCCCTGCAGTTTTCTTCCTTCCACCATCTTGAGCAGGATCCTGCAAGGGGTTCAGGAACTCTGTGCTAGATGTAGGGATGGTACTTGAAGGATGCATCTTGTGAATGAAGGTCATGGCATTTTTGACTCTAACTGAATCTGGCCTTGCGCACACCACACACACCCCCTCTCCCCGCCCTCTCTCTCTCCCTCCTGGTCCGGAGGCAGCTGCTGCCATTCTCCCATGTCAAGATGCTTCTGGGTCATTAGATGACGGGTCCTCCACTGATCCTCCCCAGGCCACCTTCCATCAGTGTGCGGCATTTGATGCTTTGCGAGGCCGCCCTGCTCAGTTCCACCTGGGAAGCCTCTTCTGTTGACTCGAACTGCTCCATTCCTGCTAGTGGGGTGGAATGCCGTCCTCATTCCCAGCAGGGAGGAGGAAGGAGGCATTCCAGAAGACCAAGAGAGAACAAAGCTTAGATAGCTTGTGTGGGAGAGAGAGAGTCAAGATGGCTCTTCCCCAAGAGTTCTCAGAGTATGTTGAACAGCCTGTTTCAGTTTGGCAAGTTCTCTGTCTAGAGGTGAGGAAGAATAAAACAAACTGCTTAGAAGACCCTCAACATGTCTCGCTTGGCCTTTGGAGCCTGAACAACGGGTTCCAAATCTGAATGCGGACAGACAACTGAGGGTCCAGAGTGCTTCTCCCACCATTCAGAGGGCAGAACAGCTGCATGCTGGTTTGGGGGCAAAGATGGTGGGTTATGGCTGGCTTTGATGGGGAGAAGAAGGTCTCGTTACTTCCCTACTCAGAAATAGCTGCCTGCCTTGCTTCAGAGAAGCTGTGCTCTCTTCTGATGCCTGATAGATGGATAAAAAACAACAATTAAAATTTCGGGAACATTCATAACTTAGGGTGGGGCTGGATAATTCAACAGCCCCAGGCCTGCCGGAACAGCCAGGTCTTGGTTGCTTTGTGGAAGACTGGAAGGGTAGTAAGGGTCCGGATCTCAATGGGGAGATCGTTCCATTGGGCCGGAGCAGCTACAGAGAAGGCCCTCCCCCGGGGGGTCGCCAGCCGACATTGGCCGGCAGATGGAATCTGGAGGAGACCTAGTCTGTGCGATCTAATAGGTCTGTGGGAGGTGATTGGCGGTCTCTCAGGTAGCCAGGTCCGATACAATGTAGGGCTTTAAAAGTAACGACTAGCACCTTGAAGCGTGTACGGAGACCAATGGGAAGCCAGTGCAGCTGGATAGGTGTAACGTGGGTGTACCTAGGTGCACCCACAATCGCTCCCGCGACTGCATTCTGGACTAACTGAAGTCTTCGAACACTCTTCAGGGGCAGCCCCATGTAGAGCGCGTTACAGTAATCCAGTCTTGAGGTGACGAGGGCGTGAATGACTATCCGAAGGGCCTCCCGGTCCAGATAGGGTCGCAATTGGTGCACCAGGCGAACCTGGGCAAAGGCCCCCCTGGTCACAGCCAACAGATGATGTTCTAGTGTCAGCTGCGGATCCAGGAGGACTCCCAAATTGCAAGCCCTCTCTGAAGGGCGTATAGTTTCACCCCCCCAGGCTAAGAGATGGAATAGCTGGACCATCCTTGGGAGGGAGCATCAATAGCCACTCAGTCTTGTGATGCTGGCCTAAAGCAAAAGTGGATTCATCTTTCCCGATTTTTTAAAAGATGAGACTGGAGGGCTACTGGTTGGGGAAGGCTTAGCAGAATTTATCCAACTTTACATAGCCATATAGCTTTATATGGGAGTTGGGGTTTTCCCCTGTTTTCCTTTTGATACTTACATACAAAAGTCCAGTTGAGTCAAAGAAAACAAATCTTTGTTTTGTGGCACAGTGGTTAGAGTGCAGTCCTGCAAGTTACTTCTTCTGACTGCCGACTGCCTGCAATTTTGGCAGTTTGAATCTCACCGGGCTCAGGGTTGACTCAGCCTTCCGTCCTTCCAAGGTGGGTAAAATGAGGACCCAGATTGTTGGGGGCAAGAGGCTGACTCTGTAAACCGCTTAGAGAGGGCTGCAAAGCACTGTGAAGTGGTATATAAGTCTTAAGTGCTATTGCTATGCTTATATTTGAAGAAAATGAAAGAAGAAAAACCATGTCATCAAGAAATAGCAGTTTCATACTTATGTGAATATTCATGTTTTCAATATTTCCTTTAAGCCAACATCACAGGCAAATTCAATTAATGAATTTATATCTGATATAGTCAGTGGTATTTTTCTCATCTTGGGGCTTAATGATAAATGGGTTGCTAATGTATATTTTTTCCAGCATCAGTTGAAGGAAAATATTCATTTTAGTTTGATAGAAGTTCATACAGAAATCATATCTCATGTATTAGCTTCCCCATATTTCTCCCGTAATTCAGTTAATGTTGAAAAAAGGATTTAATATTTCTCTTGTCAATTTGCTTTGTCCATAAACAAAGTTTTCAAGTTGTTACTTCAACTTTTTTGTGAACTTTAAGAACACTAATTTAACTGCTTTGTAAATCCAGTTTTAGCTGATTTAAAAGTCAAAATATGTCAAGGAAACCACCATTGTTAATCCGTCAAATTCAAGAAATCTATCTTTACTTTCAAATAGAACATCTTTTGCTGACGGAGGATGTCACTCTAAGAACAAAACAGCTTCAACTTTCGTTTTAAAGAGTTATTTTAAAATGTTTCCTTTTGATAGTCATCAAACCTCAGAGCTTGTGGTTACTCCCTAATTATTTGTACAAAGCGGTACAATTTCTGCCATGTAAAGGATGAGGTTTTGTACAAGTCAAAACAATTGCACATTCCTGAGGAGTGGCATTGAAATATGAGACTATGCTTTTCACCACTGTAGCTTCCTGTAGTGCTACCATGCACAGTCTGGAGGTACAGGTTGACCCCTGAGAAATGGGGTCTTCTCCTCATCCAGCACTCATCTGGCCTCAATTCAACACAATACAATAGCAGAGTTGGAAGGGACCTTGGAGGTCTTCTAGTCCAACCCTCTGCCTAGGCAGGAAACCCTATACCATTTCAGACAAATGGCTATCCAGCATCTTCTTAAAGACTTCCAGTGTTGGGGCATTCACAACTTCTGGAGGCAAGCTGTTCCACTGATTAATTGTTCTCACTGTCAGGAAATTTTTCCTCAGTTGTAAGTTGTTCCTCTCCTTGATTAGTTTCCACCCATTGCTTCTTGTTCTGCCCTCAAGTGCTTTGGAGAATAGCTTAACTCCCTCTTCTTTGGGGCAGCCCCTGAGATATTGGAACACTGCTATCATGTCTCCCCTAGTCCTTCTTTCTATTAAACTAGACATACCAGTTCCTGCAACCGTTCTTCATATGTTTTAGCCTCCAGTCCCCTAATCATCTTTCTTGCTCTTCTCTGCACTCTTTCTAAGAGTCTC